AATGGCTTTTGTAGAGCAGTTGCAGTTTCTAGTGTTATTTGCCTGAAAAATTGACCGCACTAGCCATGCTATGCCCGTTGCGACATGTCTGGTGCGGTTGAGCCTACGGGCGAAAACACTTTTCATTTTTTACTATATATATTTATATGAAAAATGCCGGCTTGCACATAGAAAATAGGTTCGCCAAACGGCTCAGATAAGTATGTCGCAATTGAACGGTTAGATGAGCGATAGAGCGTTATTAAATTATGAAATGGTGTTGTCATTGATTACTGACACCTGGATGCGGCGTTGGCTCATCTCAACGAGGCAACCTCTCCTTCTCTCATCTCACCCTCTCTCCTCCACGCTCTGCTCTCTCTCTATATATATATATATATTTTTACGCAACTTGTATAGTATTATGAAGCAACAATTTTAAAAAATCATCCTATGGCTATTCAAAATTTGAAATATACATCTTTTTAAGTCTAGTGAACAATCATAATAAATAAAAAATTGAAAACACAACTTAGAAAGTATTTTTTTAGCCCAATTAACATAAACCGTTTATGGTAAGATGTTTAGATCTAAGTTTTAGAAAGATTTTTTCATTTTCAATTTTTTGGATGGTTTTAATATAGATAAACAATGTTAAAAAAAGATAAAAAAAGAAAAAATGATTTGGAGTTTATGAAGATTAAGATATTGAAATTCACAAAATAAATGGTCTAAATTTATTTACGGAGGGGATTCATTTTGACCATATCAAAAAGTCAAATTAATTTTTTTTTTACGGGGATTGATTATTGAGATGAAAAAAATGTGTCCAAAATTTGAGATCATACAAATACTACAAATATAGTTTTCTAGAAGTATCGTTACATTTTACTATAAAACAAGCGTTGCATTGGATCATTGCTCATCTTCTAACAACCCGGTGTGTCTTTGAGGTTTAAAGGTTGGCCTCCAATTCAGTCAGAGAGGGGGGGAGAGAGAGCATTCCAATTATGGTTGGAGCCTACCAGTTGGGCTTTGAGCCTGCGACCACTATATTAACCATTAGCCAAAAGAAAATATGCTCCCTTGGGGGTATACTATCTATTTACTCCTTCAGGTAAAATCTGACTTAGGATTAATTTTAGGCTCCAAATTTTAAAGATATAACCTCTTCAACCCATAGATTAACTTCAATAAAAAAATCCTAATTTCCCTTTAATGCACTTGAAAAAATAATGTCTCAAGATTGAATAGAGACAGTCCAATTTTTAGAGGCTGAGATCAAAGAGTTAGAAAACTTAAATTTCGAATTTTTTTTGTTGAGAATAATAATCTAGTGATTCTTAAGTGGTTTCCAAAATTTTAAATTGAAAAAATCCTCTCAAGTTGGTCTTCAATCCGAGGGGTAAATGTAACCTATGCTCTCTGCCTAGTTTGGCCTGTTTATATTTCTCCAAGTATATACTGAAACGCTACATTATTAACAAGTCCTAAATCTCTTAAAAACTTCGAAGCTGCATATGGTTGGCTTAAAATTAGTTGTAAAGAACATTGCATCTCATGATTATAACCCCATTCATTGACTTCATCTTTTATGAATGCCATAATATACAAAACTCAGTCCGAATGACTGCAGCTAACAGTGAACAAAGTACTGGAATAAGGTTTAATTTAATAGTACTTAGGCATGTAAACATGAGATCTTTACCTTCTATCAGTGAATAAAAGCTCGTTTTCAAGTTGGAAAGGCTCATTCAAGGCTACTCCATTCGCTTATCCAGCGAGTTTTGTAAATAAGAAACTTGGGATGTGTTCGATTTTATTTTTATACATGTAATTCTCTGTCGATTTTACCAATACATGGTCCCTTCTGATATGGCATTGCAGTAATTCAACAAGGTGACCTCAGTTATATCGATAAGTACTGACTGCACCGGGTTAGAATTATGCGGTAGGACTTTACACAACAATTGTGTTTTTTCATTGAGAAATCATCGGCACGCTTGATCGCGGAGAAGCACAGATCTCCTGAGAAGAACTTTTGGAATCTAGGAGTGGAAGTTAAGCAACTCTTATTTGGTAGCTTGTCTGCATTTTACGGTGAATAAAATGAACTTTTTTGTAATAATCCATCCACAATCATAGTAATAAATAGATCATAATTTCTTGATCCCATTAATGATATCAGAAGTTATTATTGCTAGTAAACCCTCATGAATAATTAGTACATCCCTTCAATTCATTAATAATTCGAACTAATACTTCCCCCCACTTTATTCTCGATGTAAGTTTTCTTCTGTTGGGTCTTCGCTTGTATCCAAATTCGCAATTGCTGCTTCTAGCAATTACCTTTTCGTTAGTATATATGGATTTCTCGAATTTATTATCCATGGATCATTAAAATGGTTAATGGGGATCACAAGCTTGATATTATAACATGAAATAGTGAATAAAAATTAGTAGTCTATCCTATATAATTTCATCTTAATCATTATCAATAGAGCCTTTTTCCAACTTTTCCAACTACTTGGGTCGGCTACACAAATTTTGGTCCACCATTATGCTCTATGAAGTGTCATACTTTCAGGAAAGTCACATGTCCCCTTATCTTTTTTCATTATTGCCAACAATTTCTTTTTGGACTTACCCTTTGACTTTTTTTAGCCTTCTACTTGAACTAACTCACACAAATATTGTACTTAGTTTGCGTTGCACATGGCCAACCCATCTAAGTCTACTTTTTCCTATTTTATCATTATTGAAGCAACACTTAAGTCCTCCTGAATGTTTTTTCCTATTTTATCGTTATTGAAGCAATACCTATGTCCTCCTTAATGTATTCGCTTCGAACTCTATCCATTCTTATCTTGCTACTCATCCATCTCAAGATCATCATTTCAGCTACTCTTATCCTATAGGTATATTGTCTCGATTGCCACCATTTCACCCTATAAAACGAAGTCTCACAATTGTCCTATAGAACTCGTCCCTTCAACTTCATTGGCATGCAGTGATCACATAAACCTCTGGTTACACATCTCCAGCTCTAATTATATGTGTGACATCTTTAATATCTCTATTTTTTTGGATTATCGATCCAAAATATCGAAAGTGCATTCTTTTTGGTATTTACTACCTGTCAACCTTAACTATTTCATCATCTCTACTCCTATCCTTATTAAACTTACATTCCATATACTCTCTTAGTTCGACTAAGTTTAGAACCTTTTTATTCCAAAACACCCCTCTGAAGTTCTAACTTTAGGTTGACACAACTTCGGGTTTCATCAATCAAAACTATGTCATCCGCGAACAACATACACCACGATAACTCATCTTGTGGGTGCCTAGTTAAGTCATCCGTAACTAAAACAAAGATGCATGAACTCAACGCCAACCCCTAATGGAGACCTATTGTCACAAAGACTTACTCGTCTCTCCACTAACTGTTCACACACTAGTTAGCACTCCCTTGTACGTATCCCTCACCAAGTCAATGTAGTATCTATAGACCCATTTGTTTTTTAACACCTACCAAATTAAATCTCGAGGTACTCTATTATAAGATTTTTCTAGATCAATAAAGACCCTATAGAGGTCATTTCTCTTTGCTTTAAACTTCAAATAAAATAATATCATCTCAAATAACCACCTCAAGTACATCAAAAAGCTCTAATTTAGAACATAAGATGTCGCGAAAAATTCAAAGCCCTGCTAGATAATTTGCTCTCCAACAACCATCTCAAATAACTTCAATCTCAAATAATTTCATTTGAAATAAGAATCACAAATACATCTGTACAAAATGTGGCAATAATTCAAAACCTGGTTAATGATTTCACCTCGTATATACATACCAAATAATTTCATCTCAAATAACTATTGTAATTAATTTAATCTCAAAACCATCTTCAACATGCATTACTGAAACAAATGCATCAAATAATTAGCCACATAAATGTTCCCAAATATTCACAGCCTTGTCAAATTATTTTATCTCAAATGACCATCTCAATGCACCATCTCAATACATCATCAAGACGCTCAAAACCCTGCCCAATACATGTCAAATAAATTTAGAACAAAAAAAAGCAACAAAAATTTACATGGTCAAATAATTTCATCTCATATAACCATCTCAAATAATTTACCCTCGAATAATTACATCTCAAATAACCATGTCAAATAAAGCCATCTCAAATGATCATATCACAAATAACCGTCTCCATTGAATTCTATACATCATATACGATGAAACTTTCACACTATTCAGCACATAAATAATTAGACACAGAAAGACCTGAACCCACCCCACACACAAGCAAATACGTAGAGCTTGTGTAGATACAAGTTCCAAAAACATCAGCCACATTCTTGTCAACAAGGGACAAAATAAAATAAAACAAAATAAGAAATCTCGGGGAAGGTCATCTTCTTCGACTTATTCGAACCTGGCTTTACATCGGTTAAAAGATCTGCTCAGCAAGAATGACATTACTCTGAAACAAAAGTGATCTTCAGAGAAGTTGATCTTCTTTGCCTTATTCCAACCAACCTTCACATCAATGATTAAAAGATCTGCTCTACAAGAATCCCATTACTGAGAGGACAAACAATACTGAAACAATGAACGCAGGTAATGAATGTCATATGCATGCACCATTTGCATATCTACAGTCTGCAGATATACACTATGTTCCCTGTTACTTGTAATACTGCACTTCTTGGCCTCGTATGCACAATAAGAACAAGAATAGTAATAACAGTAAATGAAACCAAAACCAGATTCTCAATGGCTGTCATGGTCCATGAACTTAAGGAAAATGTCAACACAATTACAATATATATATAAATTCCTCTGCACAAGAAGAAACTGGAATCTTTCAACTATTCGTATCGTCAGCCCACATTTGTGTTGCAATTTCATCCAGCAATTGTCGTCTGAAATCACGGTATAATAAGTATGGGAAAAGTTTATATAGAGCAGAGGCTCTAAACAATCAAATTAGAGCCTACCTCAAAATTTTCAC